ACAAGTTGATTTAGTATCTGGTAAACTAAAAGTTCCAGTTGTCAAAAAGACTCTTAACATTTGTCCACAGCTAGCAGCATTTAATTAAGACAGAACACTCCTCATCTAAGACTGTATACTGCTGTTTTGCAGGCAAATAAAAGCTCAGACACTTAGCTATCCTGCTACCGATGTTATTGCTGAAGAAATCGTTTAATGACAGTAGTTTTGAAACATGAACAATGTTAGACGTACTGTCTACAAATAAACACCAAACATACTTAAAGCTATCTTATAATGTATGACAGCAACAGTACCAAAGGCATTTTTTTCCTATTTTTAATCAGACTGATTTGAATCAGTATACTCATTAAAAACATGCAGCTCTACTTACTAAATTGATCTGTTTCGTTACAGGCTTCAAGCATTATACTTAAGTATACTATAATTCTATAGACTAAACTAAATTATAAGGCAATCAGGAATACTAAACTAAGCAAGTGTCATAATTATTTTTCCATTTGCACAGACATGTTGCTAAACGGAGTAAAATGAACATAATTCAGCCGATAAAACCAAAACACGAAATATAGACCATTTGAACTTACCTAACAGAAGACGAAGGATACATATATATTGCTTTCAGACTAAAGACAACAGTCAGTTGTTTATAAAAACATAGTCTACAGTACAACAAACATTTCTTCAGTAATATCATGCACTGACGGTCTATCTGGAAACAATAAACTATGTGAATAAACTCATTATGGCTTTAGATATCATCCCAGCGTGCAATGGATGTACAGTGTAACGCAGTCGTACGTGGCGAATAAAAATTAAAAACAGAGCAAAAATAACTACATAACCTAGTTATTTAATTAAAAATACATTATGAAATGACAAAATCTGTGGTTACTTGAACGCGCAGATGACCCTGGGCGATATATTAAGTTTAAATGGTTGCGTTGCGGATAAATTCACCCGTGTTGATATCTACACATTATCCTTTTAAAGATCTGTACCACTCCTTTAATTCCGATTTCTTACGTTCAAGCCTAAAACGTTGCTTACTTACTTACTTACTTACGCCTGCTACTCCTAATGGAGCATAGGCCGCCGACCAGCATTCTCCAACCCACTCTGTCCTGGGCCTTCTTTTCTAGTTCTATCCAACTCTTATTCATTTTTCTCATGTCTATTTTCATTTCCCGGCGTAATGTGTTCTTTGTTTTCCTCTTCTCCTTTGGCCTTGAGGGTTCCATGTGAGGGCTTGTCTTGTGACACAGTTGGATGCTTTCCTCAATGTGTGTCCTATCCACTTCCAGCTCTTCTTCATGATTTCTTCCTCCACTGGGATCTGGTTTGTTTTCTCCCACAGTACGTTGTTGCTAATAGTGTCCGGCCAACGGATCCGAAGTATTTTGCGTAGACAACTGTTAATAAACACCTGTATTTTCTGGATGATGGCTTTCGTAGTTCTCTAGGTTTCTGCCCCATACAGTAGAACTGTCTTGACATTTGTATTGAAAATCCTGACCTTGGTGTTGGTTGACAGTTGCTTTGAGTTCCAGATGTTCCTCAGTTGTAAATATGCTGCTCTTGCTTTGCCGATCCGCGCCTTCACATCTGCATCAGATCCACCGTATTCATTAATGATGCTGCCCAAATATGTAAAGGTTTTTACATCTTCCGAATCTTCTCCGTCAATTGTGACTGGATTCGTGCATGCTGTGTTGTATCGGAGGATCTTGCTTTTCCCTTTGTGTATATGGAGACCTACTGCTGCTGAGACTGCTGTTACACCGTTCGTCTTCTGCATTTGTTGTTGCGTGTGCGATATAAGAGCCAGATCATCTGCGAAGTATGGGTCGTCTAGCTGCATCCTAGCTCTCCACTGCATCTCATGCTTCCCTTCAGATGTTGACGTCTTCGTGATCCAGTCGATCACCAGGAGAAAGAGAAAGGGTGAGAGTAAGCAACCTTGACTGACACCGGTTTGTCAACTGACCTCCATGCACAGTTTGCATTTTTATCCATCACAGGAATTCTGTATGATATTGACTATCTTCTGAGGCACGCAGTAGTATCGAAGAAGCTTTCATGGTGTTGTTCTGCCACGCTGTCAAATGCTTTATCGTAGTCAATGAAGTTGATGTAGAGTGATGAATTCCATTCAATTGATTGTTCCACAATGATCCGTAGAATTGTGATTTGGTCTGTAAACGATCTATCCTTACGGAATCCTGCCCCTTGGTCTCGAAGTTGGGCGTCTACGGAGTCCTTCATCCTGTTTAGCAATACCCTGTTGAAGACGTTTCCCGGTATTGAGAGAAGAGTGATGCCCCTGTAGTTATCACAGTTGCTGAGATCGCCTTTCTTCGGTATTTTGATCAGAAGTCCTTCTTTCCAGTCTGTTGGTACTTGTTCCTCATCCCAAATCTTATTGAAGAGAATGTGGAGTATCCTTGCAGTTGCCGCTACGTCTGCTGTTAGTGCCTCTGCTGGAATGTTGTCTGGTCCTGCTGCTTTCCCACTCTTGATTTGTCTGATGGCCATGCTGATTTCTTCAATTGTTGATGGGCCAACATTGATCGGGAGGTCTGTGGGTGCTGCTTCGATGTTGGGTGGGTTCAGTGGAGCTGGTCGATTCAAGAGTTCTTTGGAGTGTTCTACGCACCTGTTTCATTGTTCTTAAATGTTGGTGATTACCTCGCCTTCCTTGGTTTTCACTGGTCGTTCTGGTTTACGGTGATTTCTTTGTTATGTCATACAGTTGTTTCATGTTTCCTCCTCTTGCAGCCTCTTCCGCCGTCGTTGCTAAATCTTCCACATATTTACGTTTGTCAGTTCTGATGCTCCTCTTCACTTGCTTGTTGACTTCTGTCTTTCGCTGCTCTAGTTCGATTGGTATTCATTGCTGCCTTCTTGTTCCTCCTTTCTTGAATCTTATCCAGTGGATCAACAGTGATCCATTCCTTGTGATGGTGCTTCTTGTGATCCAGGGCCTCATGACATGTTGAAGTGATTGCCTCTTTGATCCCCTTCTAGTTGCTCTCCACAGTAGTTCCTTCTCCATTGAGTAGATCATGAAAGGCCTGGAACTTGTTGCTGAGGACTATCTTGAATTTGTTGAGTTTGTTAGTATCCTGAAGAAAGGCCGTATTGAACTTTTGTGATATTGTCCGCCGCATTGTCCAGTGCTTCTTGAGTTTCAATTTCATCTTGGCGACCAGTAAGTGATGATCTGATGCTATATCAGCTCCTCTCTGGGTTCTCACGTCCTCTATAGTCCTCCTGAACGTTTTTTTGACGCAAATATGGTCGATTTTTAAAACGTTGCACTGATTGCTAAATATTTTCGAGATGTGTTTTCTAAATCGTTGGTCGCTTCTACGTTTACGTCAAGTGTTACCGGATAGATAAGTGAAGCATCATCTTCACTGTTATATAAACTTATTTCTACTTCTATGGCTTAGAACACTGACTCGGATTCTTTAACGAACTGCTGTATTTTCATCTCTGGTTGTTGTTTATTCCTATAATAATAATAATAATTGAAGTCTACTTAATTATTGTCGATATTAAGGGTCAGAGATATATTACTGTGTCCACTCCAAAGAGTTCTGCATGTACGTAGAATGAATGATAGGCAGTTTATCCTGTCTTGGTGAAGTCAAGGACAATTAACACTGATTAATCAACGGCAAGCTATGAACTGTCTCATGGTTCTCCTATATATCGTCACAATCTGTTTTCACCGGCGAATGTTGCTGCCACAGCCAGTCACCAAGGGAGACAAGTCTCCTGATTATCACGTCACGAAAAAGCATGTTAAGCACTAGCTGCGAGGTGTGACGTCGATGTAAGCTGTTACGCCACTGCCGTTCAATTCGGTTGAACAGACTGCACACATAGATTAACACGCTGACAATTCGCAGGTCTACCGCCATTCCTTTTGGCCTGAAGGTTCCAGGTTTAGGATTGCTTTGTACAACTATTTGATGGTTACTGTAAAAAGTCCAATCGACGTGCAGTTTCTTTCCCTAATTCCATCTTTATCCGGGAGTTGGCTTGTTCTCTACCACTACAAGCTATTCTGAAGATTTTCGGACTACGGATCTAGAGTATCTAACGTAGAAAAATATCTGTACTGCACTTATGATTGTTGTGACAGTTTTCCGACTTTTAGCTGCACATGAACGACCTCTGAGCAATTCGGAAAGAACCTGAAAAAACCCAACCGTTCACTAGAATCAAAAGAGGGCTATAAATTATTGCAAAAAATGTGATGTACAGTTTTGTGTTAGGGTTAGCAATTAGAGTTCTTATCACGAGTTGGAGACATAACATCAGTTATAATGTTATTCAACCATACAGATGGATGAATTTCACTCAAAATCCTGGACCTGATGTCTTAAGCCTTATTGATTCGTCCGTAAATCATATTCTTATCGGCACGGGTAGTTTGTAAAAATGTCCGCGGAAGATTTATTTACTTAGACATGCCCTATGCTCGTAAATGTTTAGTTGGTTCGCGTACACTGATTTGCGATAGTCCATTGTATTTACCAGACCATTTCCCTGTTAAAGTATATGTTCTCAAACTAAATTAAAGAAGTGATATGTACTGGACGCCAGTTTATCGGCTGTGTCCGGATAATCACTGGACATCTTGGGTTCAACATCATCCTCACTCAAATTCAGAAACTTCTGTCTCCCATAAAAGGACGATAATTTTCAGCCGGTGGAGCCACACAACATTACACTTTATGTCTCAGAGACGTTCTTTGAAAAATAAATTTGCTGAATGAAATTAATTTTATAAAGTGTCGAAATAGGTATCGCTAGTTCCGTTCACTTTATAGCATATAGTAGATTATCTTCCTCACTAACATACGTCTTGAAACAAAGCTTCTATATCTGAATAAATACGCAGAAAATTGTATTACCGTCAACTTTTTAAGTGTTTAAAACAACATGGGTCATTCATAACACACGTTTACGTGAAGTTTTAAATCCTGAAGGTCTCTGGTATATGTTTGTGTATGTCGCTTGGCGTTTTTTTATATTAAGTATCCGTGCCGATAAGAATATGATTTACGGACGAATCAATAAGGCTTAAGACATCAGGTCCAGGATTTTGAGTGAAATTCATTCATCTGTATGGTTGAATAACATTATAACTGATGTTATGTCTCCAACTCGTGATAAGAACTCTAATTGCTAACCCTAACACAAAACTGTACATCACATTTTTTGCAATAATTTATAGCCCTCTTTTGATTCTAGTGAACGGTTGGGTTTTTTCAGGTTCTTTCCGAATTGCTCAGATGTCGTTCATAAATTATAGTCTCAACGAAAGCTCCAATGATCTCTTCATACGGTACAATAGCTCCGATTTTATTTTGAACCATCAAAATCAACGTTATTGCATGAAGATTTAATAGCTGTTTTACTGGTTCATAAAGTAACAGTATTGTATCTCTTAAGTAGTACCACTATTTCTTCTTCAAATTATTTATCTACTATTTGTCAAAGTTTTATTATTTATAGGAGTCTTTATTTCTCTATCTGGTCATTATGGTTGACAACCTACCGAACAATTTACTATTTCAAATAAACATCTTAATGAATTTTGGCTGCTACAGTAAAAATCTATTGATTTAAGCTTACTCAGTGTTGTTTCCATTCACTGTATAAATGCAAGAAGATTGAGTGTGTTGTTGTTAAAGCAAGTTCTGAAATATATAGACCGAAAGTTCATTCATTAGGTCTTTACTTTCAAATTGGCCTTCGAGTATCCCAGTGTATGCGAATACCAAAGATGGAATGAGTAAAATGTCTCTCAATTGTTATAAGGAACAGCTGTAAGCAGTAATCTCGTTAGTACTTATCGCTTGGTCGGGATGACGTTTCTCGATCCAATATTCAGGTTTTTAAATCAATTCTTGGGGTCTGTTTTACCTAAACAGTTTTCATTGCTATAAGTGGTGTGCCATGATTTTCTCTACTGATCTTCAGGATTGTAGAAAACGACCAGTTTTACAATGGCGAAGAAGAAACTTGCTTAAGATACCAATAATCGTCCTATGTGGATTGCGTTTATTGGTTTTCATGTTTGTTTCTACAGCCAGTCGCTACATCGTTCATTATGAGTCCCACGTAGCTCGATAGCTGGGTTTAATTTTGACCACTGTTATATACCTAACATTAAGTGTTCCCAATAAATGCCATCTATTTCAATTAGCCCTAAAGGCGTTTTCTGTCACAATTGCAGAACTTCATCGAAAACCCAGCTATATTATCTGGAGCATTCTTTTTTGATATCTCATAAAATCATGCTATTTTCGAAATACGTTTAAAATAAAACAGTTATATCTCTAATGAAGTGTTTTCGTAGACCCAGGAGATAAACTGTTACCAACAATTAAGTTTTTCAGATAATTACCTAGAATAATTTAATACTGTTAGGATTGATTAAACTTATAAGGTTATATGATAGTTTTGAAAGTTAAATTGATTTCACCGGCAGTCATGTTTTAGTTTCAAGCATCTATAAATGGTCTGGATATCTTTTTATTTGACGTCATGGAACACATCTTAGTATTGTTGCGAAAATTTCATTGATTTCGAGTAGAAAATTTTAGTATCAGATGTTTTTTGCCATAATTTCCGTTTAAACTGGTTGATCATTTACACTGTCAAATTTAGCTATTGTCCGCATATTATTGGTAGACTCATTATGTTAGTCGGGTGTCCTTACTGAAGTGGGTAGGGACGGATTGTCCTGTGATCCAACAGTTTTCGGACCCCAAAAACGCTAAATCGCAACCAGTCTTTATCCCTAGTTGGGAAGGTATAAGTATAAAAATTATGTTTTAAATCTAAGTATTATTTCATAGTCATTCGACTTGATTTCAAAAGGCTAGAAACTCAAGTCGTATCCTCGTACTTAACAATCTAATAGTGAGTTGAAAACTTTTATTTGCCAGTATGATATTCACTGAACTAAATTCCTTACTTTCATCTATTTTACTATAGGTCCAGATCATGCAGGATTTATTCAGATATTTCGTTTTATTCATTATTTTTTCACTCGAATTTTTACTTGGCGAAAATAATGCTGAACAAGATTATTATGACATTCTCGGGATAAGTAAATCAGCCTCAAATAGTGATGTTAAAAAAGCCTTCCGGAAACTAGCGTTAAAATATCATCCAGATAAAAATAAGGATGAAGACGCACAGAAAAAGTTTGTGAAAATTGCTGAAGGTAAGTGAGATCATTTCATCGCTGTAAGTTTATTTTCATTGGTACATGACTTTTTCGAAAAAAAGTACCAAGTTGTTCACTCGTAACACAAATTCATTTTGTTTGTTGACCATGGCATCGCTGTATGTTTACGTCTAACCGGGCTTTGATTATCAATAGACAATGTTAAGTAGAAGTAGGTCCATTTTTGATTTAGTGATTACTCAAGTAAACTTTGATACACTGGATTGTCGAGAAATAACATAATTTTATGAAGGAATAGGAAGTATAAGTCCATATTGTCAAGGCAATTCTTTTCCTACAGTAGTATCACATAGTTTTAGCTTAATTGTGTCTGATAGCATCTCAGACTGTCATGGAAACATAATAGACGATTGATTTTATTTTATTTTAACACATAGATATTGGTACAAGAAGGCACCAAATACATATGCGCCACAAAAATCTCATTCGATATGTGTGAGGGCTGTGATACTGCCCGGGTGCCCAAACCGAAGCAGGTGGTTTTCTTAGGGGGCCACACCCCGAGCCTTCGACTTGAAGGTCTGATCCACAAGGCAGTGGAGCATCGTAAGGAGATGCAGTCCCATAGAAGCCGGTGACCAACGACTGGTTCATACGCCATTTGTTCCCACAGGATACTGGAGCCCATGTGCACCATTGACTTGGAATCCGGTTAAAGCGCCGAACATTCGCTTTTCGTCCTCTCATTTCCGTAAACAACACCCCCCCGCCACGAGAATGCGAACAGCTATCCTATATCCCATTCCACCAGGTTATAAACCTATCATTGCTTATTCCTCCTAATCTCACTGTTGGAAAATGATGCTCAGTATGAAACCCGTTGGGTCTAATTTTGACTGCTACTGACTTCATTGTCATTTTATGGCGCATATGTATTTGATGCCCCCTTGCACCAATGTGTTCAAATAAAAAAAATCTAATTCATCATATCATTGCAAACAGTATGTTCAGATTTCTGGTCTGAATTACAACCCTATTCTTATTGAAGACCTCTGATACTGACATTTTGAATACCTTTTGAACACCAGCCTCTTTGGAGAGATCGGTGATCACAGTCAGGACAGTAGTGGTCTATGATAATCTGAGCCATCTTTGGCGCGTCGGTGATGTTAGTCTGGCTGTAAAAGATCAGGTTTATAGCACGTCAGTGAGGGCAGTTTTGCTTTATGCTCGTGAAACCCTACATCTCCAAGTTAAGGGTGTTAAACACTGAATTTTCAGTAGATTGGACAATAGAGCTAGAGTCCCTAATTGAAACAACTTGGGATATTTTTAGAACTTTGTACTTAAACGTTACTGCACCCCTCATCCCTCGAACTAAACCAAAGGGTCCATGGAACTCCCCACCATGGTTTAGTGGGGGGGGTTAGCCCGGACCAATCGGGCTATACTGGCTCGAACATTCGTTTCTCAAGGTCCTACCATGCCAGGCAGATCGGTCGAGGAACGGTAAGATTAAAAGCAGGGAACCCAAGGTCCCAGGGTAAAATACTGCTGACTGTACAGAGGTGTGACGGCAGTACGGTGTTTCCCTCAGCCAACCAGCATAACAGCTATGCTGCCTTCCCACAAGGGAAGGCTGGGGGTTAGAAAAAGGTGGACCCCAAAAGTACGCACCTCAACTTATCCCATGAATTTCCGTCTCCGGCGATAAGGTCTCAACAAGTGTGGAGCTAACACGTAAATTACTCACAAAAAGGTGTGTGACCTGCCTCGTACAGTTGTCTCTTGGACACTGTGGGCAAGCTCTCAGGTCACTAAGACCAACTCTAACCCAATCTCCTCCCCAGGTACCTCCAGAAGAACCCTTCCACGGTGTGTGCAACCGGGAAATAAAAACCGCCCTCATACCTCTGACAGCACTCAAGACCACTGTATTCATAATCAATCTTCCTCTTCGGTTCCTATTATTCCTCCTACTTCGACTTTGAACTCTAAAATTCCTCCTCAAGTGTCACTATGGCCAACGATTCTAGTGCGCAAAATACTCTCTCAACTCTACTGAAACCTGGCTCCAAACTACACATTAGGGCCTTCAATGTACGTACCCTGTGTCAAACCGGCCAGCAGGCCTCCTTGTCTAAGAACCTAGAATCTCGTACGATTGATGTATTGTGTGTCTCCAAAATACGTATACAGGATGCTAATGTGGTCATTGACTTGACCTCACCTCGCCAAAACAGAGAGCCTACCAGATTCACCCTCCGTTTATCTGGCGACCAGATGGCTAGTTCTCATGGACTGACGGGTGTAGGCATAGCAGTAAGTATGAAGGCAGAAGAGGCACTGTTAGAATAGATTGGCGTTAACAGTCGCCTATATGCTGTTCGGCTAAACGGCTCCGTAAGAACTCGGAGGGATAGGGGCAGGTGGCGTTGCGTTTTCTTCAGTTCTGCTTACGCTCCCACTAACTGTAGCCCGAGCAAAGTGAAGGATGAATTTTACAGAGAGCTTCCCGAATTTCTTCAAAAATCTAAACACTCAGACATAGTACTCGTAGTAGGTGACTTTAATGCCCAAGTAGGTAAATTAAACCAGATGGAAAGACATTTAGGTGGGTAGTTTTGTATTCTGGCTCAGCGAACAGATAATGGTGATCGTCTACTACAACTGTGCTCAGACGATCGTTTATTTTTAACAAGCACCAATTTTAAGCATAAGGAGAGGCATCGTCTAACATGGAGACCCCCTTCACCAAACTAACAATCGACTGAAATAGACCATATTGCCAACAGTCATCGTTGCAGAGGCTCAATAGAAGACTATCTCTCATTCTGGAGTACTTGTTTAGACTCTGATCATGTTGTAATGCGAGCACGAATTTGCTTGCGTCTACCTGGGCTCAGAAAAGTCACATTAAGAAAACGCATTAGAGTTGAACTGAGTGACGAGAAAACCAAAAGTAGATTTAAGGAACACCTGAGATGACACCTAGGTAGTTGTGAAAACGAGGCTGACCCAGATGTTGCTTAGAAAGATATACGAACAGTTGTGAAAACAGCAGTGACATCTGTTAGTGATTTGAACCCGAATGGTTAAGAAGAGCTAGTGGATTTCTGTAACATGTATTACACTGATAGACTCTCGTAAACTCATCCCATCAGGCTCCGAACACGATGAAGAACGAAAAGAAACCAGATCTTGGTTATTTAAAAGTCCGTGCGCAATGGAGGCTAACGAAAGCGAAAGAGATGGAAAAGGCAGCAGTTATAGGTAGAACTAGACAGCTCTTCAAAAGAATAAAAGAAACCGGAATTAAGAAGTCAAGTGTGAGACGATCTCGGAAAAAGACGAAACTCTTATCTGCTCTCAGCCCAGACGTTTAGAACGATGAGCGGAACACTTTAAGGTGCAGTTCAACTGGCCTTCAGCTACTATACAACTACCCACCATCCCCAAACAGCCTGAATGGAACATTGAAGTAAGTCTCCCGACTCTAGCTGAAGTTCCAAAGGCTACAGCTAATCTGGAATGAGGAAGGGAAGCTGGTTCAGATGGATTGGCTCCAGAGGTCTTTAAGGATGGTTGTCCAATTCCAGCGATTAGATTGACCAATATTTTAGCTCAAATCTGGGGGTTGGACGTAATCCTATCTGACTTGTCACAATCACTTATTGTCCCAATGCATAAGAAGGGGTCAAAATCATCCTGTGATAACCATGGTGGGATTATTTTGTCCAAAATAGCCTCTAAAATACTAACGTTGATCATTATCAGACGCCCAACAAAAACTCGTAAACTGCAAACGCGAAGAAATCATGCTAGCTTCAGACCTGGTCATGGCTGCATCGACCACATATTCGCCATTATTCAGATCTTAGAACACAGGTTTGCTTATCGGCATCCGACAATGATAGTTTTTCTTGACTCTGTAGACCAAGAGGTTCTGTGGCAGTCTCGTTGAAAGGCGTACCTTAGAAGTACATAAACCTTGTGAAGGTTCTTTACTTGAACACTACCAGTCGATGGCGCGTTGACAACTTCACTTATACTGGAAGTCTGGTCAGCCCTAATGGGTTGGTGTCTGACGAAATCTCTTTACTGATTCAGAAAGCTCGCTTGGCTTTTGCCAACTTACGTCACCTATGGCGAAGGCGAGATATCTGTCTATCAATTAAGGGACGAGTATGCTGTGTGGCAGTTCGTTCTGTTCTACTTTACGACTGCGAAACGTGGCCATTAAAAGTAGAAGATACTCGTAAGCCACTAGTATTTGGCCACAGATGCCTTAGAAACATTGCTCGCATCTGCCGGGATCACCGGATAAGTAATAGTGAAATTAGACGAATGGTATCAGGGAGTGATGACAAATCAGTTGATGAGGTTGTGAAAAAAGAGACGGCCAAACCAAAACATGGCATCAGTCCATGAAGTCACTAACTTCTGATGTGAGCCATGTTGGTAGATGCAGTCTACTGAGTTGGGGCCCGCGCAACTGTCGTAACCAATGGTTGGAGACTCTAGGTGACATGGCTTTGAATCAATTACACTGGCATAGGTTTATACACTTTGTCTTCCCTTAAACCGTGAGGTTAAAATCGCTTTTTTACCTTTCTTTCTACGAACTAATTCTTTCTCATATTCTTATATGCAATCTTATTTTTTATGTATTACTACCATTGAAGTAAGTACTTCTATGAATTCGGTTTTCATCTTGTGCTAATGAGTTATGGCAACATGGACCGATGCATATATGTGCCTGGTCCTACGTTGTAGCTGACTGATTCCTGAGATACATTTACGCACTAACAAACATCTACATGTTTACTGAGTTAATACTGATACGTATCTAATGCAGCACTTACTATTCATACCACCATTAGCGTACTGCAATAATAAAAACTTTATTTTATTGTTCCGAGTCAATCTATTGTTTTTCATACAGTTTAAGGAAACTATGTTTTGAGGTTCTGTAGTAAAATTATTGGATTTCTTCTGATCTCTTTGTATTACTCGATATCTTACTTTATTCATCTTCTTACCAAGCTTATGATGTGCTCTCTGATGATGAAAAACGTAAACAGTATGATAGTGTTGGACATAGTTATTATACACAACAGCCTGGTGGAAGTGGTGCTCCAGATTTCGATTTTAATAGTTTCTTCCGAAACTTTGATATGTTTCGTCAGCATAGACATACTGATGATCATGGTTCGTTCTTCAATTTTCGTGGTTTATTTGACGATGATGATGGTGATGACGATGGCTTCTTTTCACCATTCGGCAGCATGTTCCATTCATCAGATGAATCTCATGGGTTTGTTAGACATCAAGGTAAGTCGTCTGAAACATGATCCGTGAATGTAAAAAACATATGTAGGCTTTAAGTATTTAATCATTGTGGTATTTGAATGTATGTCTTATATTGATCTAAACAAGCCAGTAATGCTGAGGTTAAGCGTGTTATTTTAGACAAAGATGGCAGTTTGAGTAATAAAGTTATACACTTCCATCTATCGAAGATGGTTGTAATACGTGTTACGCATGAATAACAAATGCCTACTTTGACATGCGATGCTGAATGGGTTGGTAAAAGGCTCGGAGCAGATACATTAAAATATGGCATCGCATCATAAGTTTATTAACTATTGATCCGAGTCAGGTCGATTGGTGTAGATTTCCTGATTGGAACTCGTGCAGTATTTCTAATCAGTAGTTGAACGGGGGCTTTGGATGGAATAGTACTAAATCATTCGGAGTTTAACAGTTACATTTGCTCTCCATTTTCCTCCAAATCGTGAGTTATGTACCATTCGTAACTTTCCAACTTTCTTTCTCATTTGCATTTTGCTGATCTATATTTTTCGTGTTTAGATTTCCATGACAATTAAATTTAATTCCTCTTTGCTCTCTCACTATCCTGATTTACGGTATTCCCATATGAGTAAATACACATCCGTACTAGATTCTACGTTAATGAATATTTGCAGATAATGTGACAGTGTTGTAAGTTTCATCACGCAACGGTTCAAAAGCCTGGCAAAGAGAAACTACTTACACAGTATTGGTGATTGAACGTTTGAAGCCTTATTATGTTTAGTTCTGGCGGTCGCATCTCACAGCTAAACAACAAAGTATAACTATGCTATATTCGGAAACCACTTTGTTTAAAATTTAGTCAAGATGTCATAGTTTTATAGCCGACAAAAGTCATCTTTTTAACGGCAGTAGTATGTGCATTGATTATTCTTCTTCTAAATTTTAACAGGTAACCTCTTTGATCATGATAAATAATAGCCATATTCTTTACTGCTTTTTTTAGGTCAACAAAACTGTCAAACTCAAACCATACGAAGAGGTAATACAATTATTACTCAAACACGTTGTTCTTAATTACATCCTAGAAGTGATTTCATTGGTATTATTTTGTACTATTATACAAAAATATCTCACTGTTGTTTGCCCTCTTGATAAGCTTAAAATTGTGTACAGCCGGTGGTCGTTATTATAATGTTTTACAATGTCATTTTGTTTATATGAACGTTGTATTACTTTTTCTAATAATCCACATAAAATAACTGGTTGTTCATATCACACACAGTGTTTTGTTTTGTTTGGAAAAAAGTGTTTTTTATATCTAAAGACGTGTGCCTACTCATTCATCTCTTCTGCTTTATTCTCTTGAGACTACCATTGTCTTTCTCTTGTCATTGGTTTGCGTGGATAATTTTAAGGAGTAAAGAAAATGTATAAAAGGTAATTTCCACAAACATTAAACAACCATGATAAATAAAAATTTCCACTATTTCGTTCGTTTGATAGATATAACCAACTGTTGATTGTTGTTTGGTTCAACAAATTTCTATAATAAAAATTAAAGCCATCAATATATTGTTTTTTTTCTAACGTGATAATAATGGTAATGTAAACTGGTTTGTGTTACTATAAACAAAAGTAGTAACTTCATTATGGACTGAAAAACTGTTGATCTTAATTCATCTGGAGTGTATGATATATAGCATCATAGAAAGTGATGTTACATAGTCGAAACCAGCGACTGTGAGTAATTAAACTGATAAAATATTATTGGCAAAATTGTGATCAATGCGATAGAAAATAATTACGTAACAAGAACTACCTAAAATTAAAAACTTGACTATAAGTTGCGTACTTGGGAATTAATATGGAAGCAATAATATAATCTGAGATTAATGGCTATGAAGTTAAGATAAATATATTTTCAAACCTTGGCTTAAGACTCAATAAAATTTCCAGAGCAGTTTTTGGACTATGAGCCACTAAATCTACAGACCAATAGTCACACCTTGACTTCGCTGACCATACCTTGCTCCTAATCTACTGTTCCAAATAGCATTGAGTGTTAAAGTAACTTGGTGTTCAATATATGTTGCACGTCTCTCAGTCGATAAAGATTCGTAGCTTTATTAACTTGTCTGCTTAATACCCTACATCTAACTAAGTTCAGCGTTGCACACTCCTTTGTTTTATGGTTCGTGATTAGTATTTTAAATATACCTATGGTTAGGTTTCAGTAACTTATAAGTATCCTCTGATTTCAAAAGCCATGTTTGAGTGAAAATCTTAGTATTTGTGTCATTTTAATTGTGATCATATATAAGCAATTTACCTTATGGCAAATTGCCGTTCTCAGAAAATTCTATCCAGTAAAATATTATCATAAAGACATTTTTGTGTCATAACATTCTACTGATAGACACAATAAAAAAATTGCTAAAACTTTGAGTGAATCTATATTTAAGCACATAAATACCCGTATAATGTACTTTCCTTTAAAAATTTTCAGTGAATAATCACGAACAGTATGGTAGATTTTGATCATTTAATGCCTAATTAGAAATCAGTAATATTCAATTACGTACTGCTTCAAACTACTCATTATTGTCATGGTGATATTACAGTGTATTAAAAAGTGATGAATGTTGCGAATTAATTATGTACTAATTCGATTACTTACTGTTACAGTTTGATTCTACAAATACTGATTATCTTATTTGAAATATTCCAATATATGTATATATAGTGAACCAATATGGCAGTATATTTAATGAATGTAAATAAGACAAACTTTGTCTGATTGATAGTAGTTCAATTAAATGTTAACGTTTCAATTCGTCTGCTAAGGTGTATGCTTAAGTTGCAGTTATACTGTCATGTGGTTTGAGTGTTACAATTCTATTATGAAACCAATGAAAATAAATTGACCAATTCTTTGTGAATTATGTATTCATGTTTATGGGTAAATCTTACCAATCATATGTCGAGGATTGTCTTCTGATATTCCGGTATCTTGGATGTAGAATACTGGGAAACAAGCAACCTTGTTTGTTATCACTTCGTGTGTCGAAACTACACCATGCCAACAAACCAGTCATGTTGATGATAACGCCTAGTGGATTATTGCACAAAATATAATGACGGATGACTTGTACTTTAATAAGAGTTGGGTAAACCCTAACAAGATTAAGAAACTAAATACTAATAAATATGAAAAGACTAAAGAATAGAGACCATATCCTATGAATTCCCGAAGGTACTCGGTTTTCCAAATTGAAGAAATGATTGAGTAAATATTTATCCATACCTTCGATTGTTAAATTATTGATTGTAGTGAAAGAAAAAGGCTAAGTTTACATATTATTGGTCTCGCCAGCGTTGTGATTTAGGGCTATAACCTTATAGGATTCTCGTCACCAACTGATGTCAGCTATCATGCAACGAAGGTTTGCCACACTTTTGCTGATAAACTTAAGAAAGTTAAAATTTAGAGTAGAAGAATATTATGTAGCTATACAAACATCTTTTACTGTGTATTGAATCACATCAAATACTCGAACATACAATTCATGAAGGGAGCAAATATTCCTGATAGTTTAACTTGAACAACGTATCATATTCACTTTCTGGTTAATTAATAGGTATTTTCACTAACTTCAAGCATCTTAATAACTGAATATGACCATTTTTTACTTAGTTCATTTTAACATACGAGTTATCTATCACTTCACTTTCAATTTCCTGCAAAAATCCATGAGATATTATCTTGATTTTGATTGACTTACTAAAGGCCGTCAGTATATTATATGTTAACCGTCTCGTTATTCTTATTACTCGATACTCTATGTATTTTTATGTTTGTATCAATTCATTTGGTTACATAATTTTGTGTAATAACTGAATAAATATCCTGTTAAATAGTAAAAATATACTCATGAGATTTAATCAAGAGTCATACATAGACGGAATCTATTATTGACTAGTAGAATGTAATAAAACTAACACTTTTCAAGAAAATATTACTGTTAGGTTGTAAATATTTTTCTTTTAATAAATTTCTATCATTTTCGAAAAGACTAGGAAGATATCATAGTTTTAGAAATTTCTCTTCTGAATTATAGCTTTTCTTCTTCATCTATGAATAATCTCAAGTGAAGTAAAAAATAACTGTCATTATGAAAATGAAATCTTACCATATAACATCTTGAAATTCGAGTACCCACTGATTGATATGATGTGTATTACAAAAACAAAACAATTATTGTACAGAACGATAGACTTTCACTGTTGAAAGTGATAAACTTGTAGTGTGGCGCCAAGTCGCAATTGACTTTGATCACCACTACAGGAAAGTTGCGTATCAAATATCAGAAGGCAATTGAAGGTTTTAGCGAAGTATATTTGTTGGTGATCTCGTGGTATCGAAAGAATACCGAGATCGTACCAAAGGAGTACAAGCGGATTTACTGAGCAAACGTAAGTTCGTGCAAGGTCACAACCAACGGAAGGATAATGGGAGAATAATGGATGTCTTTAGTACAGTTAAACAAACAAATACTTTAAAACAATCACTGGTACAATTGGTTACAATAATAATTGTTTCCATTAAACCAATCGCGTTCTCTTGCTAAAAGTAGGTCACTACAAACTTATTGATAAAGTTTTTATGACCAATATAAATACTAAAAAATGATTTCATAATTACCAAGATAAAACTTGAATGCTTCATTTTCTATTGAAACTGATTAATTACAATTCATTAACTTGTCCTTTTTATATTACCACTGAATTAATTCTATGAATTTGGTGTTCATCTTGTTGTGCTAATGAAGTATGGCAACTTGAACCGATGCACATATATGTCTGGTCCTACGTTGTAACTGACTGACTGACTACAAGAGAATAAAGTATTCTACTGCTCAAAGTTTTTCTTCTCTCATATCTTAACAAGTATCTCCAAACTTAATCAGCTCTGTAAAACTATTCATTAAGCAAACTATTTAAGAAATAATTTTGTGTTTTTTTTTAAAATGTTTCTCATAATCAACATTAGAAGAAAGGTGCAGAAGCTGGATAAGATTGAATCCATAAAAATATTGATTAAAATCTTATTTATATTAAGCTCAATAACTAATTATAACACGGTGAACTTGTAACATAAGGACTATTTTAAGACGATTTACACTGGATACATGTATACCGACTAAGATTGATCAAAATTCCAGTCAACATATCAACAACAGGATACAATTAAATCTTATGGTTACTTTATTCATAATGATGATAAATTTTTAAGGTATGTATAACTTGATTGAATGAAATATTGTAACTAAACGTTTATTCATAACAGCACACTTATTCATATACATGTACTAATTATCAGAATTTATTAATCTATCATTTTGAACAAAGTATAATAGATGAATAATTGAAATTAAAAGTATTCAGTAAAATAAAATTCTCTAACCATTATATCTGTAACAACTGAAAACTATGATTACTGTTATGTTCTTATGACCGATTAATTATGTTACGTGATATAACAGCCAATTAGAGATACCGACTTACACGACCAGACTAAGAACACATAAACCTATACAATCGGCCTAAATTTCTTATTGATCTACTGAAAATAATAATCTCTCTTAGTCCAGAACTCCAATATCAGCCTCCGAACATCCTGGGTTTATATACAAACAAATCAGACTATATCACACTGAATACGCCACAGGTATTTGGAGTTTGACAACACTTTAACCAGTAAAACCTTCTAAAATAGAAAATAATATTTATACAAGATCAAACCAGTAAGCGACTGTGATTGTGAGGAACTGTGACTAATAGATTGAGAATAGTAAATCAAATAACAGTAACCAATAGGTCGAATAAAAGCTTATAATGAAAGGAATATGAATATGCATATAATATAGTTGCTTGATAGTCATACAATAAGAATATTCGTATAATCTTAGTTCATAAGTAATTCCTAACGGTTACCAATAAATATATGATTGAAGATAACCCAGTCTTCAGAGAATAAACAAAAAATTGAAGAACGACTATTTGATGAACTGTTTGCAATGCCATTACTTAAAATAAATCACTATAATTCCAATAATCTACTAACGTATTTGAATGGATCTATAGTAAATAGATCTCATTTTTACCTCAGTTGCAGGCTGTTTACTTAAATGTTTTGTAAATAATGAATAGATATCTATATGTTTAAGATTACACTATGGTATTCGATTACGATACACTGATCTCCCCATTTTCCTTTAGTATCATTATGGATATGCTCCTAGAAATAATTCCTATGTCATCCAGATTTTCAAAGACTGATATCCCACAAAAAAATTTCTAATTAACATGGAATATACATACTTTATAATAATGTTTTATGAATACTCTAACTAAATACAGTTTTTAAACCACTTGAGCAACAATGTAAGAATCTATGAAATGTATTTTTACATCTGTAAGTACATACATACCTTTCCACAGAGACTTGATAACCGAAGATGTAATAAGACGTCTCAACGACTTTACTTTTACATTAAATCCCATTG